GATCCGTCATATATAAAAGCGTCAGATCAGAGCTGGATCCGAGGATCCGTCTATTTAAACACGAATCCGGATCCATACTTGGGCCCGATCCGAATTTTCGGATCGAATCCGGATCCTTGAAAATATCCGTCAGATCCGATCCGTGCGGAACACTAGTTGTGTGTATCGTTGTGTGCATTCTTTTTTTATGAATCAATACTTCTGGAGCAATATAAGGAAGTACACCGTAAATTTCTTCAGAACGTGAATCCTGATCCACCGGTTTGCATAATCCAAAGTCCGTAATATAAGGGCTAGTTTTATTTTCATTAACTATATTTCTTGAATGAAAATCTTTATGAATTAATCCAGCTCTATGAATTTTAGCAAGCCCCTGTGCTATGTAATGCAAGTTTTCTAGTTTATTTACCCAACATAATTTTTTAAATTTACGATCTAATAATTGTCGAAGACTTCCTTGCCTTGCATACGGATCCTTTGTTAACCCATAGATACCAATTGCCAAGTTACCTCCATACTTATGTTGATTTTTAACTTCTTTTAAAAATCCACTAGATAAATTCCTAGAGTTATCAAGACTTTTTAAGCAAACTTTTATTACTTTATTTCTCGCCCATTGAAAATTTCTATCATCAAAACCAGATATATATCCACTAGTCCATATCGCCTTAAAAACGGTGCTAAATCCTCCTTTAGCAAGATATTTAATATTTGTGAATTCCTTAAAAGGAATCCATTCAATAATTTTATCAAAACAATCTGCTACGAGTTGCACTTGTTGAATAAAGGTATCAATATCAGAATTACCACTCGTCCAATTACAAAAATTTGACGCGAATTGAGCCGATGAAAAAGAAGGCAACTCAGAAAATTTACCCAGAGTAACACGATGAAAATCAGAGTCCAAACGAGGCAAAAGAGAATTAGATAATAAATCCAAACAATTCATTGGATTTGGATTTATCATCGAAGCAGAAGCTAACAAAGAGGAGAAAGATTGTTCCCTGGCAGAAGAGCTGAAAGTTGAGAAGATCTGGTAGGCAAAAGAGAAGAGAGTGATTCTATGAAATTTGGTAGGTCTGGAAGATTAGAAGAAGAATTTGAATTCTTTAAAGAATTCATCATATTACATCAATTAGCTGGCAAATTAAAAATAGAAAAATAAGAAAAATTCGATCTAAAGTATCCGAATAATCCGAATCTGATCGACCCAGAGATAACATTTCTAAAAATTCTGAAATACTCTGAGGTTCCCGTCTGCTAACATTAGTTATATATGATATTAAATCTGGAAGTATACTCTGGGCAATGCGAAAAATCTTCTTTTTTTTCGAATTGATGCGGCAATTTTGTAATCGTCAGGTCCTACATAATTCACTTTATAGTCATTTACTCCAAGTAAATTGATTTATCTTTAACATCCCACGCGCTTGGTAACATAGACTCCATTGAGAATTCTGTCTTTCAAAGCTAATGAGTATGTTCTCACGCATGTATTTATGCTATCTTAAAAATGTCTTAAAATGTATTTTTACAGTATTTGTCTATCCTCATTGTACTTGTATATGTCAATTTCTGCTGCAAATCTTATAAACGGAGTAATCTGGTGTTATCGTTATTGCTCTTTAGTATTTTAAAGTGATTAGGATTTCATTTCATTAAATAAGTAATAATGAACTTATTTATAAATGCAATATACATGAGATTGATCTTTTTCATTTATTATATCTCTTATCCGTTCATTATAGAATTTGAATTTTTAAATTATAAATGTTCTGAAACGTGTCTATCACACTAAACCTGATTATATCGTGTTTATTGCTTAATTCATATGAATTTCCCTTATCGTTATGTTAGGGTTAATTGATCCGGAGCGTAGCGGAGGATTCTCAATTTCTATAAATTAAGTGATACAAAAATTACGTTTTTGATGCACTTTTGTCAGTCCGCACGCGTTTTCAAATTTGATAATGTAATAAAATATGCATATTCACGCGTTTGTGTGATGAAATGATCATCATATGAATCTAATACTGTATTTATATTATACAGTAATAAGGTTAGAGATTAGACGTTCATTTTTTAAATTTTAATCAAGCCATGACAGAAAGTAATTCTGATCAGTGTTTCGGCGTAAACCGAGACCTTCGCTGAGCAAAACTTCCGAGACTCCTAAGAGCTGGTTCGCTAGAAACTTTAAGTCCGAAACTTCCCGTGCATAGTACCCGGATCTTTTATACTGAAATTACTAAAAAAAAGGAAGTAAGTGGGGTATTTACTCCACAAAATACGGTATTATAAAAACACCAGATAAAATAAGTAGTCAGTCAGAATGTATTTCTTATATATTCACATAAATCGCATTTTGATCAATGAAAATAATGATTAACTGCAAACTCGTCCTTGATTATTAAAAATCGCATTTTGAGTCCATACATAACATACAATAAATTTTTCAACTTTAAAGTGGCAACAGTCAAAGTTCGTCACAAGGCTCTTCTAAATCAAAAAATTTCATGAGCCATATCAAACAACGGTTAAAAGTAACAAATAGAAATTAAAAAGTGAAACAGTCGTAGAAGACAAATTATATAGTCACTGTTGTAAACTTAACGATGAATCTTTAGTGCACTCATGAGCCATAGACTTAAATGACATTGATGCAAGAAAGCTTTTTGTGACGAGGAATGGCAAGAAATTAAATATTCTGTAAAAGAGCTACCACAAGTTGACGAAATTTTGTTCAATCAATGATACGATTTTCAAATGTAAGTTATTACAATTTATCTAGAATAATAATAATATTATTTTCAGGTTTCAACAACCGAAGAATTAAGAAATGTTCTAAAGAACACTTCATTTAAAAATGACAATGAAGCATATGATCCAAAAAAGCATTACGATTCAGAATGGGCGAACCTAGTTATAAGAAAGTTGTAAGCACTTATTTTATTATTAATGTTTTAAGTCTTATCTAGTATAATATTGATTCTAATAATGTTCACATATTTTAAGCCTTACAGATTATGAGGATATTAACCAAAATTTTAAAAAGCAGCATTTAGAAGCATGGCATGATGTAAACATATGGGCACTCATTGTTTATCATGGATTAGAAACATAGCTAATTTAGAAACAGTAAGGTGTTTGCATTCATAATAAGTTTTATATTTTAACACAACAACAAAAAATATATACATCCACTCATATTTTTATTTTAATTTTTTTTTTTATAGAAAAGAGTCGACCTGCCCTGCATATCCACTGCAAGAAATAATGAAATAAGGTCTAACAAGTGTTACAAGACTGAGAATGGATGAAATTTTTTGAACGCAGTAACAATATTGAGTACGATATAGTGGAAGTTGAAAAAAAATTTAATAAGACAAAATTATTAACTGACAGTTTTAAACTGGAAAAAGTGCTAAAAGACATCTACATACAATTATGCAAAATGATTCATTTTGAACAAACAAATCCAGGTAGTTACTGGTTGCAGGAATAATCCATAGTAAGAATTTATAATCAATTATTAATATTAGACACTCTTATATCGTATTAATACCCAGCATACCAAAACTAAGCAAACTTCAAATTTTAGCCTTAAAACCAAAATTCTTTATTTAAGTATTCCAAACTGTTATGTATATTTCAATAATAAAACAAGAACAATTTCTCGAGATACTCTCAAGTGTAGAACAGCTAAAAAAGCCTTATAAAGGTTCTTGCAAGTATTTGGCTTGTAAATATTAAATACGTATAGTTAATAAAATAAATATGCATTGATATTATATAGAGAGAAATTAACTAAAATTTGTAATACTGTAAGTTTATTTAATAAATCCATATCAAGCAAAATTTGCTATGAGTGTGATCTGAACTTTGATTCATTATATCAAGATTTTACTTAGTTTGTTATATTGAGAGTCTGTTATATTAAGAGTTATTTATAAAAAAAAAATTTTAAATAAAAGAAGTTTTTTTTTTTTTTTTTTAAAAAAAACTTTGATGGCCTTGCTAAAATTTTATTATAGACTTATTACAATAAACAGAAAGAATAAACTTTCTATAAACTGGACCATTTATCTGAGATTGCAAGTTCAACATCACCCAGCTGCATAATATATGCTCAGCTACAACCTGTCACACTAATATCAAGATGAATTAGAAAATCTTGTAAGCTAAAACTAACTGCCATCTCTACAACTTCTATTGGCTATCATGCTAACTACAGTCTTTGAAAGTCATATAAAATAGTAATGTGTTTGTTTATCTAATAAACATGTAGTTGCAGTTTACTGGTTTGTCCAAATTTAGAAGAAATAAATAATATCAATCTTTTGATGAAAATAAGCTGTTTTGCCCATTTTTTAAAAAATTTTGTTATAAACATAAGTAGGTAATAGTAAAGAATATAAACCTTGTACTTTTCTTAAGAGAGAGTATATATTTCTTTAAAAATAATAAAACAAGTAGATCCAAGCATATTGCTGATATTCTTTTTGATAAGTGATAAACTCTGAACTTGTTACAAGTAATATATGAAAACTACTTCTAAATAACAAGTTCCATTCTCACAATGAGTGATATGCTCTGAACTATTAGCAAATAGCATATGAAAATTATCTCTAAATAATAGGCACCAGTTTATAGTTCTTGTCAGTCTTATGTTTTTCTTTTCTAACATAGTTTTACTATTTTTGTTGAAAATTTTTGTTTTGAAAAGTTGATTCAAGGGATTGTCAGGAAGAGTTGTCTATAAGATTGTAAAAGAATAACTGATTAAATTATATCTTAATACAAATAATAATAATAATAATAATAGTAATTCTCTTTAAACTAAACTATCAAAAGATCATTTTTAAAGCCAAATTTTAGAAACTTTGTTAATTTTATTTAAATACAAAGTATTCCGTATTTTTGTTGTACGTATCTACAATTTACAAATAAAAGAAAATAAAAAACTTACAAAATTACAAAATTCTATAAAAGTGAAAACTAGTAAATTACTGTAGCATATTACTACGTGTCACTTTGTTTTTTATTTCCTTTTGATCACTAAGCCTTCAAATACTATCTGAACAATAAACACATAACTTTTTGAAGTACCCTTTAGATTTAAGATGTTTAAAATAATTTATCATTTACTGAGATGAATGCTTTCAAAGATAGTCATGAATAGAGGTCTTGTAAAGCTATCTTCAGCCAAGACCTATTCATTCGGACTGTTGTAGACTGGTTGACGATTTAATAGAATTGTTAAGACATGAAATTCATTATTCATTATTTTTAATTATGTAAGTAAAAAAATTATAAATGACTGCAATATTAAAATATTTTTCGTCAATTATTCATTTAATCAATCATGGATATTTGAATATAACATTTTTCAGTTATTCTTTAAACCATTCATTTTATATTTGAAAACATATTCTTTACATAATATAAAAAAATTTATTAATAATTTTTTAAGAATTTTAAGAATTTTTAGAAGAAACAGATACATGTTTAAAATAATACTATGATAATAAAAATCAATAATTACAAAGGCTATTGACATTAGCTTTGGAACTAGTGATTGCTTAGGTAAGTTCTATAATATATATCATTACAGTATTTTGAATACTTATGTGTAAATCTATTAAAATGGTAGGGGACGAATATGCCTTTAGTAAATTACGATAAAAGGGTTTTTTAATAAACTTATTAACAAGAAAGGATTTCGTAGCATTAGAGAAGGGGTGGTGCGCATTTCGCCGACAATCACTTTACCGATAGCTTAGTTCACCGACAATTAATTAACCGACAAGTTC